CGCCTCGCCTGATCCCTAAACTAACTGACTAACTGCCTCGGCTGCGCGAGTTGCACCGAGGCTAGCATCCGCGAGCTTCGCCTCGCCCGATCCCTAAACTAACTGACAAATTACCTCGACTGTGCGGGCTACAGCGAGGCTAGGATCCATGAGATCCATCTCGCCTGATCCCTAAACTAACAACCTCGGCGGCACGGGCTGCACCAACGCCAGGATCCACGACTTCGACTTGCTCGATCCCACGGTGTGCACCGACGCCAGGATCCATGACTCCAACTCGCCCGATCCCACGGCATGCACCGACGCCAGGATCCATGACTCCAACTCACCTGATCCCACGGCGCGCACTGACACCCGGATCCACGAGCTCCGTCTTGCCCGATCCCTAAAAATAACTAACTCGACTAAAATACACGTACACACGCCCGCTAACAAAACCCCCCAGATGATTCTGCCCGAATTGCCCGAGGGCTCGAGGGCTACACCCGCGGGTGCGCTCGCACGCAGCCGCTGACAAAACAAAAAAACTTCCCCCACTGGCAACACGGAAAACCCCATAGATGATTCTGCCCGAATCGCCCGAGGGCTCGGGGGCTACACCCGCGGGTGCGCTCACGCGCACCCGCCATCGAGACAAAAATCCCCCAGATGATTCTGCCCGAATCGCCTGAGGGCTCGGGGGCCCTTTTAGAGTTCATAAACTCGGGGTCCCTCATGGACCGGCTTCCCAATAAAGGCTCGGCCCAACAGACAAACGTTGTGAGCAGTGCGCAACTCATGGGCCAGCCGAAATACCTAGACGACAAGCCAAAAGGACGATCCAATCTCCGACCGAAAGGCTTGGCTGAGGAGGAACAACGCCCGCTTCCGACTTCATCCCACTTCTCCGACCGGAGCGCTCGCTTTGGTCTCCGGCCCACCTCCGGACGGCCTCTCCGACCAGAAAGCCTGGCCCAACGCCACTTCCGACTCCAACCCGCTTCTCCGACCGGGGATGCACCGAACCCCTGCTTACAACTCTTCTCCGACTGGCGCAATCAGAGCCGACTGGGACCAGCCGACCGGAGATGCCTGCTCAGTAGGGACTAGGAAATAGAAGGAGAAAGTAAGGCAGGGCACTCAAAGTCAACCGCAATACCGAGGACCGTACCCTATACACCTATAGGACATTACCCTATGATCTCCCTAGCATGATAGAGCCCAAGCAGTGTTGTGGCCGCTGACATTTTCCCTTACAGTGTTATGGGCGCCGTCAACTCCCATACCAGACAAATACAGTAAGGCTCCCCCACGTGCCTCTAAGGCATCGACAGTGTTGTGGGCGTCGGCATTTACCGTAGTAGGCAAACACGATAAAACCCTCACATGCCTCTAGCATCAATAGAATAGCAGGTACCGACATCTGTCATACCTGAAGAAGATGACGCAACCTCCCACATGCATCTGACATTTAACAGTGTTGTGGGCGTCTACCATCATCTTGTACCCGCCAGCGTGGGAAGCAAGACTTAGCAACGAACGTACTCCCTCCCTCTCACTTGTAAGGCCATCCCCTTCATCTATAAAAGGGGATGCGCTCTCTTCCAACATATAGGTTGATTCAGATCGATCAAGTTCACTAGTACACAACAACAGAACCATCTGGTTCAAACCACAAGCACACACTCGAATACTTAGCTCATAGTGGGGCTCCCGTCACTCTCGGCCCTTCCGACCAAAGTCCAATCGGTTCAAATTATTCCAGTGTTAGACTACTGTTCACTATATCTTCGAAGTCTTCATATAGTCATTCGTTTGCTGCAAAGACCTTGACATTATTACTGTAGCATTTGGTCTTTATGTGGAACAAGCAATTTCTGTGCTTTGTGTTTACGAAGACTTGCTCTATTGCTGATTTCATCGCCATGTCTTGGTCTATGATGATCGTTTGAGGGTGTTTTCCTCCCATTGTTTCAAGAAAAGTTTGAAATACCCACTTAAAAGTGTCCACTGTCTCATCATGCAGGAAAGCACATCCAAAAATGTAACTTTGCTCATGTCCTGTGATTCCAACAAATGGTGCAAAAGGTAAGTTATATCGGTTGGTCATATATGTCGTGTGAAAACTTGCACATTCTCCATAATCTGCATAATATTTTCACGATATGTTGCTATGATTCTCAAGTCATTTTTCTCTCATTGTTGGTTGATCATCTTGATTTTCATGCTGCACCTATAAATATATTAGCAGCAATCTTAGTTTTTGAGTAATGTCATTTATAATATAAATATTTTTTCTAGTGTGGACTGAAATAGTCGAAGAGATCATTTTTTATGTACCTCATCAATGTCCATGTTATTGAATACATTAGTTTGCCAATGGTATTGTTGAATTTTAGATCTATTATCATCATCTATGCTTGTTGTTGCTCCATTATCACCAGCGACGATTGCCATTTCTGCATCCTGTTTTTGCAAAGATAAGTTTTACTTTGATGCCAGTACATATTTATATTGCTTATAAATATAATCAAATTGGCTCAGCTGTTTGTATCTATGATTCTGATATTGACCAGTCAGTTCGTGGTCCAAAGATTTCATCCAAATCTTCAAGGCTCGTATTCTGTTTTATTTATTTGATAATGAGAATAGTTACCATTTATAATATAACACAACTAGTTTGATAAGCATATATAATATAGTTTTACCTCATTCCTGTCATTTTCAAGTATCATCTTTGTTAATGATCCTTGCATCTCTTCATGTTGCTACACAGTTTATAATGAAGCATTGAAATTACAGTCCTGTTATGCTGAATTTACATTGCATATATGTGTGTAATTTGTATATGTCTGAATTGTAATTTTTGTATACTAGTATTTATAAATTTTACCTGCGTATTTCTATCAGTCTGATTATCCACCTGAGAGTTCATCATCTGTTCCAGCATAAGTTCAGTGTAGCCTCCCTGCATTGAAATATATTTTAGTCCAAAAACAACCTTTTTATCTTGACTTTTCGGGGAGTAAGCAATGATTTTGCTCATCTTTTTGTATCTATAGAAACGGTCAGTGGAATAATTTGTGCCCCCAAATACTTGATATGGAGCTGACTGCGCACTGCCTTCATTGCTTCTGTACCATGTGAGTTCATTGGTGTTGGATAATCATCAATTCTGCTTGTTGTCTTATACATACTATTCTGCTTTATAAAAAAAGAGCACCTGAGTACTTATTTTGCTTTTTATTATATCTTCTTAATTTTTCATTGCATCTATGAAATGTGTTTTTTATCTTAAGTAATTGATCAAGCTAGACATGTGCTTGTATCAAATGCTTCAGGGAACCAAAAAATGCTGCAGCAAATTATAGAATTCAATAGTTATATTTTCATTGTTTATGACTGTATTTTAAATTAGGAGTTATTTTACCTTATACATGTCTTTGGTGTTGACATCATTGTTGTTGTATCTTTGCACTTTCTCAGAATTCTGAATCTGATATTGTGGCTCTGACATTTGCTCCTGTCTTGTACCGTTGGTTGCAACATCCAAAAATGCTTGTTTAATCAGTATAATTGCATTAGCAACAAATACCAGTTGCACTATTTAAAATGTGCAATTTGTTTTTCGATATTATGTATTTTTGTTTCATGAGTTTCTTAATTTGTGAATCGGTAATTCTGATTCTTGAATCTAGTTACAGCAAATACTAGCAGTCTTGGAATAAATCTTCATGAGGAAGTCGGTGTGCTTACCTTGGCTGTTGAGATTAGTGGTTCTCTTTCAATTTGTTGGTTGCTTGAAGATCATTTCCTCTGTTTTTTTTGCTTCTTTCCAAGTATACCTGTTATATTCCTATAAAATTCCTGTTTGTTGGGCTTAAGGACTGCTACATGTTTAGTGGGTCTCTCTCTTTTATCTTAGTTATTGGGCTTTTCAATTGCACATAACTTACATCTAACAAACAGCAACAGATTTGGTCTGCGTGGGTCTTTTTTGTCTGATGGAATTTGTGTGCTAGCTTCTTCTAAAATACATGGTTTTTCCCTGTTATAATTTGTGTTTTTAGGCAGCCAACAACCATGTGCTAACTTCTCCTAAAACACATGGTTTTTTGTCTATTGAAATTCGTGTGTATTTTAGACAGCCAACAACCATATGCTAGCTTTTGCTGAAACACACGGTTATACAGTTGATAGACTCTTTTTTTTGCGGCACAACAATTCTTGTTGGCAACATGGAAACTTAGAAAGAGTTTGTTGATGTATGCATTAGATGATCTATTTACATCCTTCAAAAGTTCATAACATTTGCCGTAAGCTAAGATTTTTTCTACTGAACATATTTGAGTTCGCAACTGATTTCCGCTGGTATATTCTACAGAACACTATTTTTCTAATACAAATAAATTAATGGAATTCCTAAACTAAGCAACAGACTGGTTGGTATTCAGTCCACTGTGTCAAAAGTTCATAACAAGTTAAGATTTTTTTCTATTGAAAATAATTGAGTTTGCAACTGATTTCCGCTGGTATATTCTACAGAACATTATTTTTCTAGTACAAATAAATTAATGGAATTCCTAAATTATAAGCAACAGACTGGTTGGTATTCAACCCACTGTCAAAAGTTCAATACATTGCCCTAAGTTAAGATTTTTTTCTAATTAAAATAATTCAGTTCGCAACTGATTTCAGCTGGTATATTCTACAGAACATTATTTTTCTAGTACAAATAAATTAATGGAATTCCTAAATTAAGCAACAGATTGGTTGGTATTGAGTCCACTGTGCACAATAATGACCAAAGGCATAGGTTAGTCCGTGGGCTGCCACTACCAGCCTACCAATAGGGCCATCTCTTTGACCCATCTCAATATGGGCCAAGAGCCCAAGAATCCTCTCATCTCAGAAAAAAAAGAAGGCAGGACGGGCCACGATGCGAAGAAGGAAACAGAGGTCCGCGAGCAAACGCCTCTAAACCCATCTCGGTCACCAGAGAACGAGCAGCGGCGGAGGCGATGGCGTCCCCGGATCCCGGCCGCACGCCGGCGCAAGGCGAGGAATCTGCCTCCACCTCCCCATGGCCTCTCCGCAAGCTCCAGGTCTCGTTCCTCTCCTGATTAGACCCCCATAGGAAAATTTCCTATTGGATTCGTGTTTGTAGGCCATCCTTCATCTCAGATGTAGTATTTGGTATCCTTTATTTCGGTTGAGCCGATCTGTCTTTAGCATTACTTACGAGCTTATTTCATACGCGTTGGAACTACAGTTATGTTTTTCGGATTCTATACTTTTCTTTAACTAAGTGAATCCTATTTCATTTGCAGTGAGAAAATTATAGAACCTATCCATTGATGTCTCATTTATCTGTATTGTGAGAAAGGTCCCACAAATATTCGTATTACATGTTGGATTAGCCAAGAAGTTTGCATTTCCCCCTAAGATCCATCATTTTTGTTCTTTTGTTGTCACATTCTTCCTGTTGCCTTGTAGAGTTTCACACCAGGGCTGTGGTCACAATACAAAGCTTATGAGGATGCAGTTGTCGAGGGCACAAAAGGTGAAATTTTTTATATGTATCCAGGATGCATTTGTCTCCTAGTATGGTCCTGAAATTTCTATATGGTCTTATTTCCATATACAAGGAACTATTGCGGATGCTCTGGTTCTTGTGAGAGAGCATCAGGCGGAGGCAATTGGATGTGCCACTGTTGCAGGATTCATTCTGTTCAGAGGTATACTCCTGTTTTTTTGAACCTTACTGATGTTTGTTTGTTGTACCTGTGGGAAATGATGAGGAGAAGCTATGGTTTATGAATTGTATTTTCTTAAACATGTCATGAGGGAAATGCTACAATTATTTTTTATTTTGTTTTTAGTAGGACGCGTAAATATCTTATGCGTCCAAGAGACTAAATGGAAGGGGCAGAAGGCGAAGGAGGTGGACAATACCAGCTTCAAGCTCTGGTACACAGGGAAAACTTCAAATAAAAATGGAGTAGGAGTTTTGATTGATAAGAGCCTCAAGGATGGTGTGGTGGAGGTGAGAAGGCAAGGGGATAGGATCATCTTAGTTAAACTTGTCATTCGTGATATTGTCTTAAACGTAATTAGTGCGTATGCCCCCCAAGTAGGCCATGATGAGAGTGCTACGCGGCTTTTCTGGAAGACTTAGATCGCTTGGTTAGAGATGTCCCTAGTAGCGAGAAGCTCTTTATAGGAGGTGATCTTAATGGTCATGTAGGTACATCAAGTGCAGGTTTTGAGGTGGTTCATGGGGGTTTCGGATATGGTAGTAGAAACCAGGAGGGAGAGGAAGTCTTAGACTTCGCCATAGCTTTTGATCTGATGATAGCTAACACTTTCTTCTGTAAGAGACAGTCCCATTTAGTGACCTTTAATAGCGGCCAGTACTCTAGTCAAATCGACTTTGTCCTTACAAGAAGGAGGGATAAACGAACATGCGTGGACTGTAAGGTGATACCTAGAGAATGTGTGATCGCTCAACACAAGCTAGTGGTGGCTGACTTCCGCTTTCTGGTGCAAGCTCATGGGAACAAACAAGCTAGGGTTGCTAGAACGAAGTGGTGGAAATTAGAAGCGGAGACATCAAAGGTCTTTAAGGAAAATGTCATTGAAGAGGGCCCTTGGAATGATGCAGGCGATGCAAACAACATGTGGGAGAAGATGGCAACATGCGTTCGGAAGGTTGCTTTAGAGGTGGAGTGACCAAAGGGAGCGGATGTGAATCGAAAGATACTTGGTGGTGGAATAAAGATGTGCAAAAGGCTATTAAGGAAAAGAAACAGTGTTATAAACGCTTGTATCATGACAGGTGTACAAACAACATAGAGAAGTATAAGGTGACAAAGAAGACTGCAAAACGAGCGGTGAGTGAGGTAAAGGGGCGGACCTATGAGGATTTTTACCGACGTTTGAGTACGAAGGAAGAAGAGAAGGACATTTATAGGATGGCTAGGACTCGCGATAGGAAGACAAGGGACTTCAATCAAGTTAAGTGCATAAAGAATGAGAGGGAGCAACTCTTGGTGAAGGAGGATGAGATTAGACATAGATGACAAGAGTATTTTGATAAATTATTCAATGGTGAGAACGAGAACACCACCGTTCAGCTGGACGACTCGTTTGATGACACTAACATGCGCTTTGTGCGGAGGATTCAAGAATCGGAGGTCAGAGAAGCCTTGAAAAGGACGAAAGGGGACAAAGTGATGGGCCCTGATGGTATCCCAATCAATGTGTGGAGATGTCTCGGGGATATAGCTATAGTATGGCTAACCAAGACGTTCAACAATATCTTTTGATCGAACAAGATGCCTGAGGACTGAAGAAGAAGCATATTGGTACCAATCTACAAGAACAAGGGAGATATCCAAAGTTATACTAATTATCGGGGAATTAAGTTGATGAGCCACACTATGAAGTTATAGGAGAGTCATTGAGCAGCGCCTGCGAGGAACGACGTAGATATCAACAAACCAATTTAGTTTCATGCCCAAAAGGTCAACCACAAAAACAATCTTCTTAATAAGACAGGTTATGGAGCGGTTTAGAGAGCAGAAGAAGGACCCCCACTTGGTTTTTATTGACTTGGAGTAGGCTTATGACAAGATACCAAGAAATGTTATGTGGTGGTGTCGGTGCAGAAAGTGACTAACACGTAAATATTTATAGTTTTGCCGTACATTGTGATCGAATGTGGCCTAGCACTCAATGACACAGGGTTTATACTGGTTCAGGCAACGTGCCCTACGTCCAGTTTGAGTCGGTCGGTGACTTTATTCCTGAGCCCAGGTGCTCGGAGTTTGCTGTGGGGTTACAAACGGAAGGGAGAAAGATGAGGTGCAAGAGGTCCGGTCGGACTCTGGTCTGAAGGGCCGAGAGTGACGGGAGCTCCGCTATGTGCTAAGTGTTCGAGCGTGTGCTCGAGGTTTGAATCTAGTGGTTCTTGTTGTGGTGTGAGTGAACTGATTCGATCTCCCCTTTTGAAAGAGAGCGCATCCCCTTTTTTAGATGAAGAGGATGGCCTTACAAGCGAGAGAGGGAGAGTGTAAGTATGCTAAGTTTTGTTGCCCACGCTGTCGGGTACAAGATGATTGTAGGCGCCCATAACACTGTTAATGTCAGATGCATGTGGGAGGTTACGTCGTCCTCTTCTGGTATGGCAGACGTCGGTGCCTGTCATACTGTTGATGTCTAGAGGCATGTAGTGGGTTTTACCATGTTTGCCTGGTATGGTAAATGCCGACGCCCACAACAATGTTGATTTCTAGAGGCATATGTGGGGGGAGACTTACCGTGTTTGCCTGGTATAGGAGTTGATGGCGCCCACAACACTGTAGGAAAAATGTCGACGCCCACAACACTGTTTGGGTTCTGTCATGCCAGGAAGGTTGCAGTATACCCTTCTGACACACCATGTTGGTACTCTTCTGCAGGTGTACATGGTACGGTCCTTGGTATTGCAGTTGACTTGAATGCCCTGCCTTACTTTCCCCGTCCGTTCCCTGGTCCTCACCGAGCGGGCGTCCCCGTTCGGTTGGTCCTAGTCGGCTCTGATTGCATCAGTCGGAGAAGAGCTATAAGCAGGGGTTCAGCGCATCCCCGGTCGGAGATGTGGGTCGGAGTCGGAAGTGGAGTTTGGCCAGGCCTTCCTGTCGGAGAGGCCGTCCGGAGGCAGGCCAGAGTCGAAAACGAGTGTTGTTCCTCCTTAACGAGGCTTTCCGGTCGGAGAGGCGGGCCGGAGTCGGAAGCGAGCGCCGTTCCTCCTTGGCCAGGCCTTCCGGTCGGAGATTGGATCGCCCTTCTAGCCTGTCTTTAGGTATTTGGGTTGGCCCAGGAGTTGCACGTCGTTCGCAATGTTGTCTGCTAGGCCGAGCCTTTGTTGGGAAGCCGGTCCATGAGGGACCCGGGTTTATGAACCCGACAGGTGGTCTTTGGATAAACATAAAGTCCCATCAAAGTACGTGACCCTCATCAAGGACATTGTCGGGGACCAATACCAGGGTACCCGAAGAGGAGCAAATAACCATCAACGTTAATTCATCCGAGCGGTCAAGGGCGCGACTACAACTCTAGCTGAACCCTAGGTACGCAAGCTCTGCCTCACCCGACCCCTAAGGGTGGCTCCGCCTCGCCCGACACTGAAGCCGCGGGCTTTGCCTCGCCTGACCTTTGGGTCCGCGCTCCACCTCACCTAACCCCTGAGGGCAGACTCCGCTTATTCCGACCTCTGGGGGCTGGCTCCACCTCGTCCGACACTGAGGTCGTGGGCTCCGTCTCGCTCGACCCTTGTTCCGCGCTCTGCCTCGCCCGACCCCTGAGGGAGGACTCTGCTTCGCCCGACCTCTGGGGACGGGCTCCGTCTCGCCCAACACCAAGGCCGTGGGTTCCACCTCGCCCGACCCTTGGGTTTGCGCTCCGCGTCGCTCGGCCCCTAGGAGAGGAACTCCGCCCCGCCCGACCTCGAGGCCGGAGGCTCTGTCTCGCCCGACAGAGACCCAAACCACCGCCAACCACTATAGGTCTAAGCGTATGGGCCTGAGTTAAAGCTCTGGCGCCAGGGAGGAGACTGGCACGCCTTGATGTAGCCCGCGACCCACGACGGGCCATACCTGGGGGTTCACGTAAGGAACTGCGTCGGGCGGACCCATGCTGTTCTGCCTAACCCCGTACGAACACTGACGGATGCGTCAGTTCACCACGACGTCTGCCAGGATGGAGTGGAGCACCATGACCGATAGATGACGCCTGCACATGGCGCCAGTGATGGATAGGGCCGCGATGAAAACCTATCCCTGTTGACGTCTACAGGGTCGGCAGGACCCGCATAAAGGAGAAGGACCCAGCGATCCTGAAGGACTTCTTCCTCTCGTTCTCCTCTTTTCCCTCAGCTATAACCCCTGCTTTCCTTTGGCCTATAAAAGGGAAAGCAGGGCGTCCCATTAGGGGGCATCGAACAAATGACCGATCCCGTATCCGAACACATCCGAGCTCGACTCAAATCCTATTACGAACTTTCAGTGCTAGTAACACGAGCAACATCAACGAACTGGACGTATGGATATTCTGCCCGAACCAGTATAAACCTCGTGTCCTCTTAGCACATCATCCGAGCCAGACGTCTAATAATACAAATTTACTCGTCGGTGGCAACTCGAAACACCGACAGTTGGTGCGCTAGGTAGGGGCCTTTTGCGCGTCTCGACATCCACACCAGGCCTCGGATGGCTAGTCACGACCTCAGCTGGGCCCCGGGCGCGCATGTGCTCTTCGGGGACCTGGACTTCACCATCACGACGGAGGAAAAGTTGGCGATGGCTCCCACCACCGTCTGACCTCTTATCTCCGATGGCCTCGGCGCGATCATCGAGCCACTCAAGGAGCTGCAGCTGCACGCGTCGGGGGCCCACGCCCCCGGAAGCAACCAGCTCCTCGACTTCGACTACGGGAGGTTAGAGCGTCAGCTCGGCGCCTTCCTGGGACCCCGGCCGTCCTGAGAGAGCCTGCGCCACCTCACCTTCTTGTTCGCCAACGTCATGGCGCAGCTTGCCAGAGGGGAGCCACTCTCTCCGGAATACCCCATCCGAAGCGCCCCAACAGCGCTCCCATTTGGTCTCCGCAACGCCGCAGAGGCCGACGGCCACCACGTGGCGCAATGCATGCCTTCATCCCCCGCGAATGACGAGTTTGTGGGGATGACCGAACATGTCGC